AGCAGATGTGTAATCTCTGTGTTTAAAACCTCCAGCTCTGCCTCTGTAAAGTGCGTTGCCCTTTTTTTTCTCACTGTGACTTTCTATGGTGACTCGTGAATTCGGCGATCTACTGAAAATGCCTTCAGGTGTGTGACGTGCACGCGCATTAACCCGCGGTTATCTTCAGGAGGTTGATTTAACTAACTCTTGTCACCTGTTTTGGAACCAACATACTCGCGGTAAGCAGGTTTTGGGTAAATCAACCGAGAGTTTAGGTTTTAGCAGATGGTAAGTTAACCCAGCTTTCTGGAATACCCCCCTGCTGTAAATGAGTGTAAACATGTAAACACCGCTATCAAACTATTTCCGTCGTGTAGGATTTTCGGCGCATTTTGTGACAGGAACAACACACACGGCTGTCTGATGCTACCTAACGAGTGTATCAAAGTTACAGAGAAATACGAAGGGTTTTTCTCTCTCATTCACTGTGCGGAATCAAACACTGCATGAAAAATACACGCTTACAGCAGTTCCTTGAATCAAATATCTTGTTTGTCATAGGGGGCATGCATGAAATTCCTGAATGAAAGTGCTAAACTGCAGTTAAAGTCCACCATTTAATAGTTTGTAAACACAGTCACTGTCTTTCTCCCCTGCGTCTATGTGTTTGTTTTGCCTCTGTGAAATTCAGCGTGTGCCCAAACCGAAACTACCTTTTTTATGCAAATGTTTATGCACCTTCCCTCTTCCTCTCCTCTCACACTACCCCCTAAACAGAGCTGGACACGCCCACTTTCCTGATGTTTTCCAAACTAGAGGTGTAAAAACACCCTGCTGAAACAGGGGGGTTTGATAGCCCTTTTAATTGTAAAGAAATCTGTGTTTTTGAAACTATTGAAGACAGCAAAAGTAAAAGATTAATTTGAATTATTCAGCCTGACATGTTTACTGCTGCAAAACATTTTAAATGCTTCTCAAAATAAAAGGGGAAACAAGTTTTTGTTTTTTACCCAGATATTTGAAAAGAACATATATTAGAGAGGTAATCCCTATACTGTCAAACCATGAATCCGTGATATTTTTATCTAATGTTATCATACTTTCATAATCTTATCCCGGCCCATGCCTAATCCAAGAATTTATTTCTGAAAAAAAAATTAAACTCTGCCCTGATTTACTCACCCTTTGCTTGTTACAACCCTGTTTGAGATTCACTGTTGAACACAAAAGAAAATATTTTGGAAAGATCATGCAAACTGATTGACTTGCAAAGTTTTTCTTTTTTTTTTTTTTTTACAGGTTATCAGTTTCTAACATTCTTCAAAATACTGTTTTTTGTGTGTTCAGCAACAACCAAAAGAAACTAAAAAAGGTTTGAAACTACTAGATAAAAAGTAAATGAAATAATAATGATAATGATTTTCTTTTTAAGGGGAACTATCTCTTTCTTTTGAAGCACATCAACATCTTAAGTTAACTTTACCAGGAATACACTGAGCTACGCTGACGGTGAATTTACAGCTCTCCTTCTTGACTTCAGCGAAGGGATCGGTGATGGTTCTCTGCAGGATCTTGATCAGGTCCTCCAGGTAAGGGGCGATCTGCTTCCCGCACACCTCCACCAGCAGAGAGAGCATCTCCATGAGCGCCAGTCTGAGCTCCTCCGCGGGCTCCAGGATCTCCTTCCCGCCGAGCCTCTGCGCCAGCGCGGGCATCAGATACGGCAGACAGTCCTCTGGTTTGGGGACAGCCCTGATAAATCCTGCGATGATCTGGATTGAAGCGTCTCTGCACGTCTCTGCTGGATCTGACAGGCACTTCAGCAGCGGCTTCAGCAAGCAGCCGAGAAGCTCCTGCATCGCGGCGCTGGATAAACGCTGCTCGACGGTTTCTCTTCTAACCGCTTCTAGAGCTCGCTTTCTCGCGCTTTTGTTGTCGTCGTTTAAACAGTTTAAATGGCGAGCCAGAGATTTTAACACATCCGCCGCGGCTCGGTCATCACCGGCGGCCGCCATTGCTGCTTCACGTGTGTTGTTGTTGTTGCTGGTTGTCATGGTTATTGTTGCCACTACGACTGTAAATCGCGACAGTTGAGGTTGCTTTACGGTAGATGCTTATTCAAAACTGTTCAACTTTATTTTAGTTTGCCTCCTTAGGTCAGAAAGAGATATTGAAACATACAATAAGATGATAAAAACAAAGCTATATACTAAGTTAACAGGCCATTTGGAAAATGTATAGTTATGTGTTCTAGTAAAATGTAATTTGTTTTGCAAGCCACTGATGACGTTTCTTTAAAAAAAGTTGTCGTTTAGAACTTAAAATGATTAGAAGAACAAACAAAAAAGCCATGTTTTTGGATTTTAGACATGTTTATATTAATTTTTTGACAACATAATACCAATGTTTTGACTTCAGAGGAGTTGTGTATGTAAGTGTATATATAATAGACTTGTATATATGTCTATGTGTGTAGGCTACTACTACCTACCTACATATTTTTAGGCTGTAAATGACAATAAGTAATGTTTACACATACCAATAAATAAATAATCAGGACATCCAGAGAAAACTGATAATTTTAAACTATTTTAAAATACATTTCAAAATTAAATATTATCTTTATATCACAAACAGAAAAATGCGAGATAAATCCATATTTTACAAACAGACAAATAGGTTAACTTATTAGTTATCTCAATAATTATTTCCGATATATATATATGTATATATATATATATATATATATATATTGGAAATAATTATTGAGATAACTAATAAGATATATATATATATATATATATATACACCTGTATACTATATTATATATATATATATATATATATATATATATATATATATATATATATATATATATATATATATATATATATATACTATTGTAATATATACCCTCACTGGCCACTTTATTAGGTACACCTGTCCAACTGCTTATTGGCGCAAACTTCTTATCAGCCAATCACATAGCAGGAACTCAATGCATTTAGGCATATAGACAGGATCAAGAGGATCTGCTGCAGTTCAACCCGAGCATCAGAATGGGAAAGAGAGGTGATTTAAGTGACTTTGATCGTGCCATGGTTGTTGGTGCCAGATGGGCTGGTCTCAGTATTTCAGAAACTGCTGTTCTACTGGGATTTTCATGCACAACCATCTCTAGGGTTTACAGAGAATGATCTGAAAAAGAGAAAATATTCAGTGAGCGGCAGTTCCTTGTTGATGCCAGGGGTCAGAGGAGAATGGCCAGACTGGTTCGAGCTGATAGAAGGGCAACAGTAACTCAAATAAGAAATCGTTACAACCGAAATATGCAGAAGAGCATCTCTGAACACACAACACGTCCAACCTTAAGGCAGATGGGCTACAGCAGCAGAAGACCACACATGGTGCCACTCCTTTCAGCTAAGAACAGGAAACAGAGCCTACAATTCACACAGGCTCACCAAAATTGGACAATAAAAGATTGGAAAAACATGCCTGGTCTGATGAGTCTTGATTTCTACTTCCAGCAAGAAAACACACCATGCCATAAAGTGCAAATCATCTCAGACTGGTTTTTTGAACATGACAATGAGTTCACTGTACTCAAATGGCCTACCCAGTCACCAGTCCTCAATCCAATAGAGCACCCTTGGGATGTGGTGGAATGGGAGATTCGCATCATGGATGTGCAGCCAACAAATTTGCTCGACTGCGTGATGCTAAGATGTCGATATGGACCAAAATCTCTGAGGAATATTTCCATTACCTTGTTGAATCTATGCCACGAAGGATTAAGGCAGTTCTGAAGGCAAAAGGGGGTCCATACCGGTACTAGTAAGGTGTACCTAATAAAGTGACCGGTGAGTGTACTTTATATTATGCACTCCCATCCATTAAAGAATAGAAAGGACATATTACAAAAAAATTTAAGCAATAATAGAAAGGTCTTTAAGATGTATAGTATCTGCCTCATTTAAAACATAAAACATTTTTACAGATTGAGATTTTCCTCCCCCTATAACTCTGTTTAGTTGTTTTGGAAAATATAAACAGATGTTAACATATAGACGAATTACCATGTCTGTAAACATTCAGGAGGTTGCAGAAAAGAACTGGGAGCGCTAGCATTTACAGTGAGGGAATGACATTCGATGCGGTACAGAGTTTATTGTTGTCTAAATTATATTACATATTATTTATATAAAGCTTTCAGTGTATTATAACAGCTTGTCACACCCAGTGATAAGCACAGTTATTCGACAAAATTATCGTTAAAGTGAGTGGTGTTAATCAGACAGGTCTATTAGTGATAGCACCCTCCCAATGAATATGGATAGGACCAAATGGCCAAGCATCCAAGCATCTCATTGAAGCTCAAAGGGGTTTTACAAGAAGAAGTTAAAGGTCTACAAGTCTTTGGATGCCTACAGTTTTGTTCTGTGTGGTCATGTGCAAGAAATAATGCTCCATGATTACCAGATTTATGTTTTGAGATTTTACTGCAAATGTCACATTCATAACGCTGCAATTGCTCATATATTCTACTCCACAACTTACAAAACTATACTTTTTTTTTTGCCAACAATCCCATACATAGTGTAGGATAAATCTGCTTGTTATTACCCAAACATATTGCTTATGCTTAGATTTTTTTCAGCTTCTCAACTAGGGGGGAAAGACTGACATCAGCACAGTCATCTCTGCATACAGATGCGTCTGTTAGCAAAACATCCCAGTTTGTAGAGGTCAGTTGTGTGATGTAAAGCTTGTGAAAGCACTCGTTCTATTCTGGATGACGCACAACGCCATTGATTGGCCGAAACAGGATATTATCGCAAGTAAATAAATAATACGTCCAAAAAACGAACTCCCCCTCGCCCTATATCCATCTACATAACACCTAAATAACGTTTGTGATTGTTTAAAATTGTGAGCTTTATTATTAGTGTATTAATTTCAGCGTCCAATCAGAATACGGATTGACGTCATAGCGCTCGCGAGCTGCAGGACCAAACAAGCAACATCCCAGAGCGCGAGTCTCGCATCTCCGCCTCATAACGGTAAGCCAAATTAACATAAAACACCGTGACACACGCCGCCGTTTTCTGGTTAAAACACCGACAGACGCCGTTTACGAGGTCACAAGTGACTAAAATCACACGTACACCGCATAGGTTTGTATTTCGAAGCGGATATGCTGTGATAAAAACGTAAACAGGTGAACAGTGAGTGATGCCCGAGCGTTTAACCGACGGTTTTTTCTTCCACGCACGAATAAATGCGGCATCACGTTTCGTTAAAGTAACGTTACAGCTCGATAAAAAAACATTATTTATACGTCAGTTGTCGTCTTTTAGATGTTTGATATCAGTCAATGGCGGAAGTGGAATGTAAATACGTTATTATAAACGGCCTTTAAATATATATGTCATATATCATGTCGTATGTACAGTATACATGTATTTCATATCTATCTATCTATCTATCTATCTATCTATCTATCTATCTATCTATCTATCTATCTATCTATCTATCTATCTATCTATCTATCTATCTGACTGACATATATGTACATTCAATAGTCTATACATTGATTACTTGTTCACTCAACAGGCAAGCATTATTACTTGAGAGAATATAAGATGCATAGAGTTAATATCTCTCTCTCGATCCTCCCCACTTTTTTCCCCCCGCAGCAGTGATAGAAGATAAGATGGCCACCTCCTCCTCCAATCTGGAAGAAGATGAAAGTCTGAAAGGCTGTGAGGTTTTTGTGCAGAAACACAACATACAGCAGATCCTCAAAGAGTGCATCGTCAACCTGTGCATCGCCAAGCCCGAGCGGCCTATGAAGTTCCTGCGGGAACACTTCGAGAAGCTGGAGAAGGTGCGTAGCTCTTACTGTGCTTTGCTGTGCTGGGGATGTGCTTGTGAGTTTTTTTTTTTGCATGGGGTTGATGGTTTGGGATCTGCGCAACGGATGTCGCTTTATTTCCCATGGAGCTGGAGAGCAGGAGCTGGAGAGTTATTGAGATCATCGCCGTCCCATTTGGCTCGGCACTTAACCTCTGGATGCTCCGGAGGGATTGTCCCTGTAATGAATGTGCTGTACATTGCTTTGGAAAAATGTCACTGTTAGTGTACTCGGCTTTGCTTTAATTGAGGTCTGCTCCTTGAATGCTCATGATCATTAACTGTCAGTGTTTAAGCTTCCATAATTAGGTTTGGTGTGCTTGTTTTTTTTTTAATTTTTGACCAAAGAAGAACAGTTGCAAAGACAGGAATCTTGCTTGAACTAATTGCCAGTTTGGAATGGGGAATTGTTGATGTCTAATAATGCTCTTTTGATCATGAGTGTGTGAACTAAGCAGACGGTACAATTAGAAATTTCATCAAGATCTGTGTAAAGTCTGTGACATTCATTTGCAGCTGTTTATTTTTTAATTAGTAGGGATTTTTTTTGCACACTGTAAAATGTGATTAATGTAATTAAAAAGGGAGTCAAAATTACTTAAAATATTCAATATTTTTTATGGTTATGCCCATAGTTCATTAGCTTAATCTTTTTAAGGCAGCTAGTTTACTCCCTTAAAGTCAGCTTATTACTTTAAAGCACAATATATTGTTTTAGTATCGATATCGCAATGTGTGCATTGCAATAGTCACATCGCTGGATCTGCAATGCCGAATAACGATTATAGATGACTAGGAGCCACAGTTGACACACATGATTTTGGAGTAATTGCAAAGTTTAACCAGAATGAAATTCCTTTTTTAAAAGCCTGTGCCTGTGAGCATTTCAAGCCAGTCTAAATCATTCATGCACAACAAATGGACCTTTTTGTCATTTTTAAGAAAGAGTATACACTCACCGGCCACTTTATTAGGTACACCCTAGTACTTAGTACCAGGGGGTCCAACCCCCTTCAGAACTGCCTTAATTCTTTGTGGCATAGATTCAACAAGGTACTGGAAATATTCCTCAGAGATTTTGGTCAATAATAGCCCCTTTCACACATACAGACCTTTCCGGAAAGGTTGTATGTGTGAACAGGTCCTTTTTGAAAATACCGGTAAATTCGTTCTGGCTATTTTCCGGAAAGAGAAGTTGTAATATTACCGGCAATTTGCAGGAATGCTGCGCTGTGTGAATGCAGAAGGAAGATTGCCGTAATGAGCGCGTGCACGTTTAGAGCGTGCTGATGTGAGACGTCTGCTTTATCAAATCAGAACAGTCAGACGCATTTACGTCCGCGCGGTTTGTGAGAATAAAAGCCTTTGAATATTTTTCCAGACACATTTAGCTGCTAGAAGTTAGTCAGATCTCGTTTATATGTTCTTCTTAATGCCAACTGTTTAAATAATCATCGGTGAGATGCTTATGATAAGCCGTTGTTTGTTTACCTTCAAGCTTTGCGTGTGCCTGTGGAACAGCCTGTGAGCGCCTGCACACGCACATATTATGAACATCTCGACATGCGAAAGTGATCCTGCGAAAGTTGTTCACAATATTGATCATCCACAGACTTTGTAATTTAGTCAAATGTTTACAAATACAAGCGCAGCCGTTTAAAGCTCATTTGTGGTGAATGATGTCAGAATTTACCGGTATTTTGGAATGGATGTGTGAATGCTCTTTTCCGGAAAATTTCCGTAACATCCTCGCCTGTGTGAACAGCGCTTTTTTGAATATACCGGTAAAGTCGTTCCGGAAATTTTCCAGATATTTACCGGTATCACTGTGTGAAAGGGGCTAATGACATGATAGCATCACGCAGTTGCTGCAGATTTGTGAGCTGCACATCCATGATGTGAATCTCCCGTTCCACCACATCCCAAAGGTGCTTTATTGGATTGAGTTCTGGTGACTGCGGAGGCCATTTAAGTACAGTGAACTCATTGTCATGTTCAAGAAAGCAGTCTGAGATAATTCAAACTTTGTGACATGGTGTGTTATCCTGCTGGAAGTAGCCATCAGAAGATGGGTACACTGTGGTCATAAAGGGATGGACATGGTCAGCAACAATACTCAGGTAGGCTGTGGCATTGACACAATGCTCAATTGGTTCTAATGAGCCCAAAGTGTGCCAAGAAAATGTCCCCTACACCATTACACCACCACCACCAGCCTGAACCATTGATACAAAGCAGGATGGATCCATGCTTTCATGTTGTTGATGCCAAATTCTGACCCCACCATTCGAATGCCGCAGCAGAAATCTAGACTCATCTGACCAGGCAACATTTTTCCAGTCTTCTTTTTAATCTTCTAGAGATGGTTGTGCGTTAAAATTCCAGTAGATCAGTATTTTTGAAATACTCAGACCAGCCCGTCTGATGCAACCATGCCACTTTCAAAGTCACTTAAATCACCTTTGTTCCTTATTCTAAAGTTCGGTTTGAACTGCAGCAGATCATCTTGACCATGTCTTCATGCCTAAATGCATTGAGTTGCTGCCATGTTATTGGCTAATTAAAAATTTGCGTTATCAAGCAGTTGGACAGGTTTACCTAATAAAGTGGCCAGTGAGTGTATACACTCTTTTATTATCAGCTGTCAGTCAGCGCCTGCTCTTTTTTTCCTGGTCATTGCGTCTTTGCCGTGTGTAGTATAAATGCAGACAATTGGATGCAAGTCACTTTTAAAAGATGATGTAAGCAGGTCATCAAAAAACTCGGAGACAATCACAAAGTCAGAATTGACCATCAAGATCTGCAGTGTAAAAGCAGTCTAAATGGGTGCTCAGCCAAACAGCAAAAACTGGAAAAATCTATTCAAAAAGGCGATAACACCAAAACTCCACCAAAGCTTTTTGGGATTTGCTGTCACCGGCTTTTTGAATATATCCATGCATGTACTGCAAACGCTCAACATATAAGCAGTTCACTCCAATAATGCTCCAAAAGGACCTTCTTTATGTAGTATACTTGTTCCTGCTGCTTTCAATAGCACTACTGTGCTGTCATGGCAGCTCTGGTAAATTGAGATCTTTCAACTCATTCACTGTCAATAAAAATGTTAACTTCAATAAAATGTGTTTTTTTAAGGCATGCGTTTTTAAAAATCTATATTATTTTAGGTATTTAGTTGCATCTAAAAGGCGTACAAAATTTCTTTATAGTATTAAATAAAACAATATAAATATTTGATACAAAGCAGTTTCGGTTTTTGGCCAAGAGGATCCAGAATTTCCTTTCGGTGCATCCTTAATAAATATTTTATATAACAACCCAATTTAACCTTGTTGTTTACATTGCCAATAAACTGTTTATGTATCTCTGGCATGTTTTATGTACACTGTATTTTCTCAAATCATGTGTTTTCTTGAGATTTATTTGACTTGAATCATTATATACCACTTATGCTGTGTCCCAATTTGCATACTTATCATCCTAAATAGTATTAAGTTTTAAATCAGCATATCTCAAATTAGGGCAGCACGGTGGCTCAGTGTTTAGCACAGTTTGCATGTTATCCCCGTGTTGGCATGGGTTACCTCTGGATGCTCCGGTTTCCCTCACAGTCCAAAGACATGCGGTATAAGTAAATTGAATAAACTAAATTGGCCATAGTGTATGAGTGTGTGTGAATGAGAGTGTATATGGGGGTTTCCCAGTACTGGGTTGCGGCTGGAAGGGCATCCACTGAGTAAAACATGTGCTGGAATAGTTGGTGGTTTTTTCCGCTGTGGTGACCTCTGATTATCAGAGACTAAGCCGAAGGAAAATAATTAACTATTTTTAACTAGTATTACATTGGCAGATTTCTCTTCATTTATTGATAGTTCACCCAAAAATGAAAAATTGCTCACTATTGACTCTCCCTCAGTTGATTCCAAACTATTTAATTGTTTATTAGTTTTTTATTCTGTTTTGAACACAAAAGAAGATTTTTGAAGTTAAAAACCTATAACCATTGACTTCCATAGGAGCAAAAACAAATACCATGGATGTCAATGGTTACAGGATTTCAGCTTTCTTCAAAATATCTTCTTTTGGTTTCAACAAAATAAAGAAACTTTTTTTAGTTTGTGACAACTGAATGACACAACGATGACATAATTTTCAGTTTTGTGTGAATTAAAGACCTGTAAATGGCAGGTTTTAACTTTTTGTTACAGATTTAGTTACTTCATCTTTAATATTGTAGTAAAAATATTCATGCAAATGAAGGATATTAACTGTGACATGATTGATTGACAGGTATAGTGTATTCAGTTACAGAATGCATACAAGTAAGTGACAGAGCAGCTAAAAAACTTTGAAAAATAGAGTGCAAGCTTTTAAGGGCATAAGAAACTCATTCAACAACCCTCAACACTTTTAATTTTATCTTATTATAATTTATAACTACCATATAAAAGAGTTTTTTATTGAACTAAATTTTTATCAGTACAAACTGTAATGTTGTCAAATATAATTACAGTTTAAATAAGTATTTCTTGTTTTTTTGTTTTTACCTTTAAAATATTTTTAATGAGGGTAAAGTTGAATCTTCATCATCAATGACGCAGTTTTCAAGGTCACAGGATCTTTCAGTAATCATAATAACATTTGATGATTTTGAAAACAGCTGATCTGCTATATATATTTGTGGAAACTATAACAAAGTTCATTCAAGATTCGTTCATTTTTCTTCGGCTTAGTCCCTTAAATATACATCAGGGGTTTGCCACAGTGGAATGAACCTCCCAACTATTCTGGCATATGTTTTACACAGTGGATGCCCTTCCAGTACTGGGAAACACCCATACACTCTTGCATTTACACACACTCATACATTATGGCCAATTTAGTTCATCCAACTCCACTATAGCGCACGTCTTCCTTGTAGGCACAGGACATCAACATGACGTCAAATGGACGTTGTACTCCAACGACTTGGGG